TTTTGAGTTGTTCGCCGCCCTGAGTCCCTCCCAGAGAAGGGCGGGATACAAATAAACTAAATCTTAATCTTAACTATTTTCCTCTTTGAAAACTGCAATTGTCATCAGGGATAACACAAGGACAAAAAGTAAGCCAGTGAAAGTAACTCAAGATTCACAATCATAGTTAGGAGGGTATTAGGACTGTCTGAAATCTCATTTCAGTTGACACCATTCTTGACAAACAATTGCCTTTCTAAGGTTTTTTTTTTTTGTTAGTTACAGCTGTTCTGAAGTGATCCAGTCTTTAGGACCGAATGATGGGAAGAAACTGAAACCTGCAGAGGATTTCCTTCACTGGCTTCATGCAGACCAGTTTTCCTAACCAGGTGCCATCCTGAATATCAATCATCTTCGAGCTAGCCACCAAATAGTTCCCTGCTTCTCACCTGCTTCATGTCGCACCATGGGTTCCTGACATGTGTTCTGGAGCACATCAATGAGGACTGGGATGGCCCTCTCGTCCTGCATCTGACCAAGGCAGTATGCCAGCTCATGCTTCAGGAGAGCCGAGTCATCTTCAAAGGCTCGGCTGATCCACTCAATCGCAGCTGGACCCCCCAAATTACGTAAGGTGAAAAGGGCGCGGAAGCGTGCCTTCAAGGATTGTTTGGGGTTCACCAGAATCTGGCCGATCAATTCAACTTCTTTCTCTTTCACCATTGTTTAGTTTTACTGGTCTGAAGAGACAGGGGTGCTGACTTTAAAAATCTGGAGGACCTAAATAGAGAAAAAAAATATGAAAATGTCTAAATGTCACCTTGGAAGCAAATTTGACCTTGCATGTTTTTTAAAATGGAAAAGAACAGCATTGCCATTTTTAAAATTCATATACTACTCAATAAAACAAATTATTAGTATAAGAAATCCACTACAAATCAGGACAATGTGCATATGTACAAGATCAATCAGGAGCAATAATTGTATATAGATGCTAAATAGAGAAAAATGCATGCAGAAACCCATTTTCCTCATGCCATTTGTCAATCTTTCTTATCTTCTCCAAATTAACAAATTAAAAATATTGATATTACATGCAAATTCATACATGCTGCTTAATTTTTTCTCTTAAGACTAAAAAATTTGCCCTCCGGCTTCTCAATAGTGCCTTGTTGTTGTTGAGAAACCCACAAAATTTGCTTCCAATTTTAGACTGTGTGATACAATCAAAAGCATATACTGGAACATTAACGTAATTTGCCAAAATGATTATATTTGAGAAAAATGGAGTGAACAATTGCATGTCAGAAATAAAGGCTGAAAAACAAGAAGAAACAGATGAGTTTGTGTACTTAGGTAGAATATTTACCAAAATGGGAAAATGCATGGAGACATTTTAAGACACTTGAATGCCGATAGGAAAGTCGTTGGGCTGTATGTGGATCATTCCAGGGAATGAATGTTGGAAGAAAAACAAAAGGTAAACTGCTTAAGGTAAACCGCTCCAAATGTGACTGCAGAAAATATGACTTCTGCAACAGAGTGGTCAATGCCTGGAATGCACTACCTGACTATGGTTTGTTCCCCAAACCTCCATAACTTTAACCTTAGACTGTCTACTGTCGATCTTACCCCATTCCTAAGAGGTCTGTAAGGGGCATGCATAAGCGCATCAACTTGCCTACTGTACCTGCCCTGATGTTTCTTTTTATTCATATCCATTTCGTGTTTATACATATATATGTTGTCTAATACATGCTTGACGAAATAAACAAATAAATAAAATTAAAAATAAAAAGCTGTATGTAAAAGTGTGTGTTTGTGGCCAGTGTGGTATATAAAGATGAGAAGTGAGTAGGCCAGATGAAACAAGTAAATATAAGAGCCGGATGTCTGTAGAGATTCCCACTCATCCAGGTCATAGTTGTCCCAAAGGTGCTTTTTCAGGAGGCAACTGGACTTTCTTGTTTTTTTTTTCTTTGAAGACATTTCATTTC